CAATTGCTATTTTAGCAACAATGATCTCTTGCACTCCTATAAATACTGACCGTTATAAACACACTGGTCCTGCCCTGACTCCAAATCCCGTTGGAGTTTGAGAAGGCAGAATTTATTTAAGCACAAACTGTGCAAGGAAGGTGTTCTGCTTCTGAGGTGCTTGGCTGCATCTCAGCCACACTGCAACCCCTGCAAACATCCTCCTGCAGGCTACAGGCACCCTTGGGTTTTGTTATGGAGAGAAAAAGCTGCAGTTTTTACACAGAAAGTGTGTGAAAGCCGGGAAAAAAGAAAAAAAAAAAAGTACTGGTTGGACCAAAGAACTGCCAAAAACCCACCAAGAGGTGCTTTCCCTATATCCCTGTTATCTGTTAGACTTGGAGAGGAGAGRTTGTGTAAGGGTTTAGGCAAAGCCAGCCTGCCAGAGCATCACCAAATCCAAGCACAACTCTTTCAGASCAGAAAGTTGCTGAAAATCAGAATATCTGGTGATATATGCACTGCCGAGCTGGAGAGGGGCGCGATGGATTTATAATGCAGCAGAGAGAAGCAGCACAGATGTGTTGAGAGCGAGAGATACTAATTGCTTACATATTTAAAACAGCATCTTTAGTCTGAATGGGAGGCACCATTAAGCAAAACAGAGCTATTAACTGGGGCCACTTGGAAAGCTGCCATTTTCCCTTCTGTGCACAGCTTTTTGCATCAATTCAGAAGTACAGTGTGATATACTGTCAATGTTGTGTGACTCCTGCCGAGCTGCCTTGCACCAGGATAAGCCTGTCCACATGTACAGGGATGACTAAAAACACCAGCATTSTGTGTGGGAAGGCACACTCAGCACAAGACTTTTCTCTTTATCTGGATTAAATGGTGGAAGGGGTGYGTTATGGCTGATGTGCTTTCCTGGGGATTTGGGAACTCTTGTGGAAAGAGGAGACAAACAAATCACCATTACGTTTATAGGTTAAAAATACAACACAGGTAGGTCTGGTACAATTATACTGTAGTATATATGGCAAATTTACACTCCAGTGTACAGCTTTCATAATAGAGCATATTCAGGACCCTGGGGAGAAAGTGATTTTAGGTGGTGTAAGTAGCCCCATAATTTACCTTCTGAATAAATCTGAGAAAAGCCTCATTTTCCTTCTGCTTTATTCATCTTGGCCTCCTTTTGCCCACCCTGTTCTGGAGTTTCGCAGCAGTGTGACTGGCCTGAGGATGAGGAAACAGGCTTTGAGGTGACCTTGCTGGTGCAGGGACTGACATTGGGGTTTCCCGAGATGCAGCGGGGCAGAGCACCAGTCCCCTGTRATTTTGGAGCACCACACCGCAGCTGGCTTCTCCTCGTACACATCCTCGAGAATACAGATGGAGATATCTSCTCCTGCATCTTTTTCAGCTCCATCCCAGGTGGTGTATCAGCCTCTTTTGTCTGATCTTTGTGTTTCACTTGCCAATCACAGTGGCGATGTGCAAGAACAGAAATCTCGATGGAGGCTGAGCAATGAGTGGGGGGATTGTTCAGTGAGTGGTGGGAGTTGGTTTGCCTGGACAAGGACTCTCAGGGACAGGGGCATCCCATCTGCTGAGGTGCTTTTTCTGCTGAGGAGTAGCTTCTCTTAAAAGACACGCTGGGATTTGGCTCTGCTCCTGTGTAAGTCAATGGAAATGCTGCTATTAACTGAAATTGGAAAAAAAAATCCTCCTTGCAGGGTGAGCTGAGAGTTAAGCTTGGTGCCCTTCACCGGAGAGCTCCACTGCTAAAGGCTCACACAAAGAGCTCTGTGAATCCTCTACTTGGTGTCATCTGTTGCTTTATTCCTCTGAAGGATGTAGGTCAAAGAGAAAGGTCATTCTTTGGCTGWTTGGGCTTCAGGCACAGGGACCAGGACCTTGAAGTGCAGCTGGTTTGAGGTRAGGAGGCAGCAAGCTGGAGAGAAGATGCAGGAGCAGTGCAGCTTGCTGAATTATTTTGTAATCAATTAACGAGGCTGTATAACACCACCAAGTGTGACTCTGCGACGAAAACCTCGAGATCTTGTTGCACTGCTGAGGGCTAAATTCTGCACTGTCAGGAGTCTTACTGCTGTGTCAAAAGGAAATTAATATAATAAGATTGACTACAGAGAGGGCAGTTTACCCTGCATTCACTCCAAATCCATCCTTTACAGCTTCCTGGCCAGATTTGGGGGAGGAGCAGATAATCCACCCTGATAATGCACCAGTTTCATGCATTGCTCATTATCCTGAAGAACTGCAGGCTGCTTTGGAGCAATTGCCATAGTTCCTCGAGTGTTAGTCATTCTGCACATTCCATTCACCACGAATCTTTACATGATTCAGCTTAAACAGGTACATAAATGTTGCAGGATTGGGTCCATAAGCATCCACAGCCTCAATTTTATGTCTCATTTGTAAGATGGGTTGCAGGAAGATGAGAGCAAAATGTGGCAAATAGACTGTTGTGGTAGAGTAATATGTTCTAAAACAGAATAAAAGCTGATTACATCTTCTAGTTCCTAATAATTTGAGGAAGTAATTCTGTATCCAGAACATTTGCAGTAAATACAATAAGGTCTACTTAAAGAAAAATAAAATCTTAGCATAACAGCTAAAGTAACTGCACCAGAACAATATTGCATTTTCAGCTTTGTAAGGAGAAGAGAAAAGAAATGGCATTTTTACATTTTCTTTTGACCTTTGAGAAATATCAGGAATATGTAAYAGCCACGCTCGCCAGCAATTGCTTAGAGGATTCAGAGAATAAGAGTTAAACACCTGGGGACATTTACAAACAACTGGCGGAGAGGTGATGAATTTAAGATGTGGGTACGAAAGGCACGGGTATACAGAGAGTGCGGAAATAATACATATTTAAAATGCTTTTAATCTGTGTGAGAAGCATCATTGAGGTGGGTAGTGATTCCTGAACAAGCAAAGGAGGGGCAGGGAAGATGACCCAAGAGGTCCCTGCTACGCTGCGGCAAATGYGGGGAGAGGTCTCAGGGGACATTCCTCCATCAAATTCGTAATGCTGTAAAGCACACATAACCTTTATCGTGTCTGTCAGCCAAAATGAGCAAAGTTTACAGCGCATTTTACACAGCTGAGCACTGCTGGCATGTGACGAACGGGCACGGGAGCCGGTGTTACCTGGGCTTGTCATGTTCCATTGTGTCACCGCTGACACCCAACCTGCTCCCACTGCTGTCACCAGCACAACCCTCCCACCACAGAGAGGTGACTCCCAGGAGCGTGGAGTTGCTTTTCCTCCCCAGCAGGTTCACTGGCAGGAAGGAAGGATGCTGATTCAGTAGGTTTGATGTCCTTCATCTTCGCCTGAGTGCTCTTGCTGGTGTCCACGCTGAGCAAAGTGTTGGAGAATACCACCCCTGCAGCTCTGCTCGTGGATGGAGGATGCTGGTAACAACCCAGCAGCTTCGGAGCTGCCAGGCTCCTCACCTGGCTTCATCTCCCTTGGGTAAAAGTTTTCCAGCTTGATCCTGGCAGTGGCTGGGTTCATTGCTGAAGTGCATTCGCCTGGCTCCTGGAGGAGCTCCCAGATGCTGCACAGGCTGTTGGTCCCAGGCTGGGGAATATAAAAAGGGTTGGTTTTCTTACTTTCTTCTTTATTTTCTTACCTTTTCCTACCTTTCTTCTTCCTTTTTTTTTTTTTTTTTTTTTTTTTTTTTTTTTTTTTCAGAGAGCACTGAGATGCAGTCCAAGCAGAGGAATTTAGACCTGTCCTGAAGTCACTGAATCTAAATTTTGCCACATCCAGTGGTCTGTACCTTTCTTTGGTCCATCCCCTACTGAGATGGGTAAAGAAGCATCCCCATTCCTCATCTCCTAGACAGGAATGGAGAGCCTTTACTTCCTTGGATAAAGAGCCAAAACCCTCCTGATTTTCCCTTTTGAAGGATTTTTGCCATTG